AACAAAAAACTAACCACCCCCCCCCCCGCCCCTCCCCCCCCCCTCGATAATTCGATACGTTTTCACAGGAAACTGGGATTCAGGATCACAAAAAATATTTATATATTTAGTGTTCTACTTTTTCTAACTCCTTTAGAAGTAGTAATGGTCGTATTAGCTCAATTTTTTTCCTCTAATTTATGTTAAAAATTACATTATTATGAATATTACGTTCATTTTCACATACCAGTATATGTACTAGTATGTTTGTATATGTTATACCTCACAACACACATACCAAGTACCAAAAAAAAAAAATTGTACCAAAGTACCAAATTCTCTTGTGTTCAAACTTCAAAATTCGGATTACAAAAAACGCAACACACAAAACAAAAAGAAAATCACATGTTCCTTTCTCTTTAATAATAAAGTGTAAAACAAAAGCCCAGAGATTGTGTTTTACTGCATTATACTTGTTGAACAGACCTTGATAAGGTACAGTTCGCGTGTATCGTGGTGTACACGGTATTTCCAGTTGTACTCCAAACATGATTATCAACATCGGGAGGTGAAGGGTTAACCAGAGAAACTTTCTTGGTACTGCCGGGTGTCATCTCAGGAGAACCAGGTCTTGTGGTGACTTCACTGGTACCGGTCTGACACTGTATAAAACAATGCCACCTCTATGACCGACGCATCTAAACGATGCGTCTCCCCAACACCTCCGACTCCGGTACCGGAGGAGTTCCTCTGTCTGTGGACTTCGACAGTCCTGAAGACTATTTCCTCTTCGTCTTTCAGGTTTTCTTCGCCACCACTGCCGTGTGTACAGCGGGCACAGTGGTCATTGGCATCCTGTCCACCAGAGCCCTGCGCCTCCAGAACCGGTTCGTGTTCATGCTGAACACCAGCATCAGTGACACGCTGGTGGGGCTGTCGGTGTACTACCTGGGCCTGTTCGACGTCTATGAGGGCTATCCGCCCCGGAACGGAACTCACAACGTGTTGCCTTCACTGCTGGGGGTGAACGTGTTGACGTTTTTGTTCGCACAGTTCGACAGGTACTTCGCAGTGTGTCACCCTTTCGTTTACAGCCGCTTCATTACGCGTCACTTCGTCATCGGTGTTAATATTTACTGCTGGATCTACAATGCCGCTCATCTGCTGGCCAGGAACGTGCTGCCAGTAGCCAAATCTTGGCATCTGTACGTGGTCAGCATCTTGCTTCTGCAGGCGGTCGTGCTGACCAAAGTGATCATGAACATCAAGTTGTACGTGGTCGCAAGGGTCCAGCTGAAAAGAGACCCTCCCGGCGAGGAGAGAGACAGTAAAAGAGAGTCGCTGCGGATAATCATTTTCGTGGTCGTCATCTTCTTGGTGTTGTGGTCACCGTCGTTCGTGAATATTTCGATCAGGTTCGTGAAACCAGCCGCAGGCCTATTGTTTAGGAACGAGGCCACCAACGTGTTCGCCGTCATGGCTCGCTTTAGCGCTGTGTGTACTCCTGCTGTTTACCTGTGGGGGAGTCCAGCTCTGAGGGAGGCCACGGTGAGGAACCTGTGGGGGAGACTGTGTCCGGGATGCAGGAGGAGGTAATACGAGGTGTAGGAGACCAATAACATAAATAATTACATGTGTTTACTGCGTTTGTTCTTTCCTCCAAGTGGACTCTTGTCAGGTAGCCGCAGATAAGTCAACCTAACGGCCATGGAAATGAGAAGAACATTCGAGAACTTCATACTGACCCGCGGCTGCTCTCCACGGACAGCGACGGTAGTTATATTAACACTACCACAATAACATAATAACACAATTAGTATTATGTTATTACTGTCATTGTTGTTGAATTCTGTTCATTACGTTTTCTGTTTTGCGTAAATAAAAATTTGTAAAAATAATCATAATGGAAGAATCTGGGCTAAACTGTGCTACAGCTATAACTGCTACAACTTTAATCAGCTTGTAAAAACATTTAACAGTACCGGAAGTTTGTGTTTATATCTTGTTGAATAAAATATGAACCTCACAATCAATAGAGCCACATTAATGATGATGTTTGGTGAAGTCACCACGTCCCCTTTAATGTTTTTGTTTTGTTTTTTTAATAAAACATTTTCGGGAATGAGCAGATGCTGACAGTATATACGCTTCGATAATACAATTCATGAAATGTAAACTACAGTACCATGATAAATGATTGTATAAAGATTCACTTATGATGTGCACACACACTCGCCATTTATATGAAAACAAATCTATGTGAAATAAATATATTCATTTGGACAACAGAAAATTAAAAATGTATATTTAAATGCTCAGATTGTCATTTTTTTCTGTAAGACAGCTTTTTTGCTTAGTCTACCAAAAAGAATAACAGATATTATATAATAATAGTCTTTGCATCTTTTAGAATCTTCATTAGGTTTGCAATAGAAATGTTACCACATTATTATTCTGCGATAGAAATTAAGAAAATATGATTTACTTTTTTCACTGAAAATTAATAATAAATACCTGTATAATTTTCAGTGAAAAAATCTTATATTTTCCTAAATTTCCACTTCTTTTTTATATTCAGGAATATTTTACAACCTCCTTTAAGAGTAACAATGGTCATAATGTTTATGCAATTCACTAAAACTGTCAATACATAAAGTTACAGTCCAGACTAATAAAAGGTGGCTAATTATATTGTGAGTGGTAAAGCTGGCGCAGAGAGGGACATGTTCACTCCTCAGGTGTTAACTGTTCTTTTTAATTAGGAATTTAGAACTTTATTAACATTTTTACATTTTTATATCAATGCCACTTTGCAATGTACATCAGCAAAGCCTATCCTTTTTTTTTCTTTTCTTACAATGTTGTCCCCAATCACCTCTGATAGTGTTGTCACAGCTAAGAGACTGACTTGAAAAAACATCCTCCACAAGATACATGACAACAACTGCTTGAGTTTTTGTCTCTTTCTCTATCTACACCTACTAAACTAACAAATTCAAGTCCAATCTAATAGTCTCTCATAGTACATATCAGTTCAATTAAATCATGTGACCATGTTGTTGGCTCAATTTACAATCTACCACAGTGTCCAAGGTGGCTGCCTCAAAGGGAAGGACGCAAGGAAGGAAACATTCACAGGAATAGAAATGACCGCCCAAGGCAGGGATTGTCTTTGAAGAGACCTCCTGATCATCATCCTGGAATAAACATGTAAAAAGGAAGAAATAATGTCCCACAAAGTCATTTGCAGATCAAACGACACTGAACAACTATGAGTTTGTCCCCTGACTTACCCGTCACGTCCCAGCAGAAACAGTGCAGGTATGTTAGGTTTGGTTGTGGATCCATCAGTGATCATATCAAGGTATTGATTGTCATTGTCCACAGCATTATCAGCAATCAGAACAGCTTTACCTGTGAGAACAGTGAAATAGTGAGGTTACAAGGAGCAGAGGTGGTGAAGGTGCAGGAGTTTAGGTACTTAGGATCAACTGTTCAGAGCAGAGGAGACTGTGGAAGAGAGGTGAAGAATAGAGTACAGGCAGGATGGAACAGCTGGAGAAAAGTGTCAGGAGTGATCTGTGACAGAAGAGTGTCAGCTAAGGGGAAGGGAAAGGTTTACAGGATGATGGGGAGACCAGCCATGATGTATGGTTTAGAGATGGTAGCAATAAGTAGAAGACAGGAGGTGGAGCTGGAGGTGGAAGAGATAAAGATGCTAAGATTCTCTTTAGGAGTGACAAGAATGGACAGGATCAGGAATGAGGTCATTAGAGGGACAACACAGACAGGAAGGTTTGGAGAAAAAGCTAGAGAAGCCAGATTGAGATGGTTTGGACATGTGCAGAGGAGGGACAGTGGATACATTGGTAGAAGAATGTTAGAGATGGAGCTACCAGGGAGGAGAAAGAGAGGAAGACCAAAGAGGAGATATATGGATGTAGTGAGGGAGGACATGCAGATAGTTGGAGTCAGAGTAGAAAATGCAGAGAACAGGGAGAGATGAAAATCAATGATATGCTGTGCAAACCCTGAAAAAAAAAGTGACAAAGCCGAAAGAAGAAGAAGAACAGCTTTACCTCCTGCCTCTTCCACATAATGGGCTTTTTCTACAAAGGAGCATCCTCTGGAGTTTGAGAGAAAAGAAAAAACTAAAATCATGTTAAAATATACAAGTTAAAAAATACAGGAAGAAATAAGTTTTTTGGTTTTTTATGTATTAAATTTTTTGTTAGACCCTCTTTCCACCAGGACGACTTGACCCTGAAGGATTTCTGTGTCTTTCAGGTCTGAACAGGCGTCCGCTGGTTCTGCCGGCACCAGGAAAATTTCATCATAGAATGAAGTCTGTCAGAGAAATAAGAGAAAAATCACATACACTAGGAATATTTGAACAAGGGATTTGTCTTTTGCTGCGGCAGATTTTTGATTAAAATGTAAATGAGTTGTTATCTGACCTATACAGCAAAACAAAGATAAAATAAATAAAACAAACAGTGAGAAATACATTCAGAAAAAAGTTACAGGCATTTGCAGATGTTTAAAACTGTCCATTTTATCACCTGTAGCTAATCAGTCAGTGATCATAGACAGATGCAGGTGATGTTTCACATGAAGTAGTAGTAGAAGTAGTTAGTGTTTTTTTTTGTTTTTGCTCAAGTAGTATTACTTCTCTGGTGAATGCAATGTAAATCAAACAAATACAAAAAGAGAAAGTACTCACAAAACACCCTCCAAAATCTTTAGCTGGCGCTGCACTGAATATGTAACTGATGTCATCTGGACTGATGACCCGAAAATAAAGCAGCTCATGAATCCCAAGACCTAGAGTTAGTTCAAGAGAAAATCACTCATTCTTTACAGGCAGGACTTTATCATCATAATATTTACAGTAACTGTAAAAATAATATTCTTGCAAATATAAATACAAACGTGATGTAAACACATCTTTACTTGTCAAAACCAGAGATTTTATATATCAAATATACATATATTTGGTGTTTGGTACTACACATGTATAGTTCATATGGATGTAAACTTCTCTATGTCTATTAATAATAATAACAACAACAACAATGTGCACAATTAATATTTATGAAAACAGTGAGTCACTACTTTTAGTATTTCCAATATCAAATGTAAAAACAAAAACAAACTTGGCAAATAAATGCATGTATTTCTTTAAAAAAAATGGAACTGGAAAGACAGTAACCAGAAACAAAAGAAACTTATTTTTTTAATTACAAAAATGAGAGAAACAGCTGTATTTAACAACTAAAACATTTACCTACCGCTAATTGGATTACCTGATGTACCACTAGAGGGAACCCAAGTGCCACTTTTGGTACACGCGCCATACTTTGAGAACAACTGGTCTACGATTCCAATACAGGTGCTTACACATTCCACGAATTCTCATGGTGGTTTGAAAATACAACGTCACATTATCGCCTTGAACGCTTTTCTTATACAATAGTTAATTCATATCACCTGCAAATAATTAAACCCAATACTGAAACAAGTGGTGCCGTAAAGTGTGACAAAGCCGGTTACCTCCCGCCCACCTACACCTCGTGTATGAACAAATGTTAAGCTAGTATTCTACAGTTAGTTACTTTAGCTGTTCACTAGTCGTTTAGCATCGCCCAGTGGCTCTTCCTGTCTTACCTGTCAGCACAGTGAAGTGCATGACAACACTCCATATCGTCAAAAGCGAGGCTGCGGCACGAACCACATTTGCCATTTTCACCACGTTTGCATCGTCACACTGTAGAGGCTACGACGTAGCTTCAGATTTCATCTGAGCTAAAAATGTGTCCAAATACAGGGTGTTTTTAGTCTTCCTGCGCCAAAAAACCTCAAGCAGTGAACAACAAAGCAGCAGGTTCACCACTCCATGCGGTTTCCTGCTCCTGCGCATGCGCTTAGTACAGGGGCGAATTAACAGACTGCGCGGCCCGCCCGCGCCCCCCCCCCCCCCCCCCATGTAGTCTTTCAACAGGGGCGGTCCGAGCATGTTTCACGTCCGCCGCCATCTCCCACTTTTCATTCTTATCAACACAAAAGTCTTTGATGACATGAACTTATTTAAATACCAACAAAACAATAACATAATTCTAATAAAAACGGGCACACAAACAAACAATGTCAATGTAAACTATTTCTCCTTGTAGTGCAGATTCATTTAGTAGTACCCACTTAAAACCTGAGAGAACATAAAGAAAAAAAACGACCCACCTGAGGGTCGCGAACCAGTCTTTGGAAAACAATGTTTTAGTGGTCATAACAGTAATTCAGAGTTCAAGTGGACAAAAAACCTCCGCAGGTCACAGGAGGAAATATTAAAATTAGCAGAGTCACAGGATGGGCAGATGCCTAACAGGAGACAAATGACAATGGATAAAACCGACAACAGGGATGTCAGAGGATGGAAGTCACACCCACGGATGAATAATTCACACAGGTCACTGCTTTGCACTGGGGTTTATTTAAAGGTCAGTTTTTCAAGCAGTCAAATTTTGATCTTTGATTTATATGCCTCCATTGAACACCATCCAATATTAAGAATGGTTCAACATGGTTTAACATACACACATAATTTTATTCTGAACTATTTCAAACTCTTATCTGGATCATAAGTACAACCACAGGAAAAATAAAAACAAATACATTTAAAATAGGAAGTGCACCGAACATCAGCAGG